GCCCCACTGCCCCCACACCCCTCAGGAGGGTGCAGCACCCGTGAGCACCTCATCGCCTGGGCACAGGCCGGCACCCACCTGCACCCCTGTTCCCGGGGAGCGTAGCTGCACCTCCGACATGGGACCCGCTTTCCCAACAACCCTGAAACAGCGTGAACCTGCCTCGTTTACTGCCCTCATCCTCTTCTAGAGGTGCATCTTTTGGGGTTTGGTGGGGGAGGTCTTGTCTCTGTGGACGTTATAACTGTCAACTGTATGTCCCTAAATCAATCTAACCAATTGCAAGTGGAAGTTGTAGATTTCTTCTGCAAGGAAAATGAGGCTGATTTTATGTGGCAATCAGATTTTCTGGAGACTTACTCCACTTCGCCAGAGCACCAGCCAATTCAACCCAGAAACTGGGAAGCCTAAACCTTCAGTAGCTCCCCCAGGCACCCACTGCCTTTGGGGAAGCTCTGCTGTAAACACCAAATAATACTAGAGCAGCCTTACCATGAAATGAGGCAAACGTATGCATGTTGCTTGGATCTGGGGTCATGTGAACTCAGCTCCACCACCTTCTGCTTTACCTCTTGAGCTCTCATTTCTCCAGTGACCCTTTCAAAGCAACTACTTTGTTTGACTATTTGAGAAATGGCTCATAACCTCACTCCATCAAGTCTGCAGGCAATGAGACCAGGGTGCAACTACTCCAAGAGCTGGGGCTAATGTTTGCTCTGCTAAGTTTCAAACTGGACTCATTAAGACAATGAGATGCTTATGCGCAGCCTAAATCCCATTCAAGAGAAGCTGCATGAGGAAAAATAATGGGCCAAGGGTATTACACTGATTTATACTGGCTGAAGATCTGGATAAATGTGCTTTATTCCTTGCAGATAAAAAGATCTGCCCGAGGCTAATAAGCTTTTGATAGTTTGGGAAACAAAGATTGATTCCTTTTTTTTTTCACAAATAGGAAGAACCACCTATTCAAATACCTGAGACACACTGCAATAATTTAGAAAGATAAACATCTTGATTCCTAGAGATAATAAGAGCTGAATGGCTGGCCTCAAAACCAAGCATTTGTGACAATTCTCGAAACAAGAACGTATTACTCTCCGTTTCCACAACAATTTACATATGATTGCAAAGAAAACCTTTCTCCCTTCACAGTTGGAAAATGTATTCTAAACACGCTACTGGCAGCCTTGCCCTAGTACCAGAAATCCTGGAGGAAGATGGGCGAGTGGGTCCACTTGTCTGTTCTCCTGAGGGCAGCTGAGGGTCTTCAGCTGAGCCCGAGGCACTGGCTCCTTTTGAATGAATACACGGCTGACCTAGTTATAAACACCTGCGATGCAAAAGAAGGCCCCCTTCCCAGGGATGAATGGGCACATTGGAGGCTAGAGCCAAAGCCGAGGGAAAGAAGACTGCAGGACTGGATAGTCTCATATCACTGTAAAAGCACTTCTTTGAAAGGACAGGAGAGCAGGGGTTTTCTGAAATAATCTAGTTTCTGCTTGCCAGACATTTTGCTTCTTGTTGCAGGCTGGAAAAGGAAAACATAGGTTCCCCTAAGCAGACAGCAACCGTGATGGAAATTTCTCATGCTCTCCAGTACAAAACAACTACCATGCATTCATTCCTCTCCCTCCCTTTCCAAAAAAGCACCAGCTAAAATGAAAACAACTGAGATCCAACAAAAGGAGAGTGTCCCCTTCACGGACTGCACCTTGGTTCAAGTGGTCAAGTCAGAAAGGAGGTGTAGGTGACAATGCAGGAGGCTGATGGAGCTGCTGAAGCTAAAGACCTTGTGAATGCCCTCTTACTTCTGGGGCATGCACTGCTTCTAAGGGACTTGCACCCACCACTGTAACAAAGAGTAATTTAGATCTGTCTGCTACGTGTTCAGCTGTGAATGAATAAAAGGCTTTCCTTGGATTGTGAATCATTACTTCAAATACTACGTGTTGCCTGATTTCTCCAGTGACCAACTTCTACGGTTTTATAGTGAGTTGTACCACATGTAGTGGTTTTCCACTAAAATACTCTCATGTACCTGGGAACTTCATCTTTGACCTAAAGTCAGTTTTTATTGCCCATGAATGCAGGAACTTGAGCACCTCAAATGGATGTGGCAAAAGCCAGAAGGAAAAAAATAAAATAAACCCCAGGTATTAAATCTCAGAATTTCTAAAGCCAATCTCAAGATTACACTGTTTTGGATGCTAACGTGACTTCTGTCATATTCAAGAGAAAAAGTATGCAGGCGGTTAATGTAAGTGCCATAAACTGGCAAACCAAATGAGTTGGTTTGCAGAAAATATGTTCTACAAATAGCTTCCTTAGTCCACTGGTTAATCTGTACATTACTTCCAAAACCTAAGTGCCTTTTCAGGAATGACACTTGGATACCAAGTATTTCCAGTCACACATAATCACTTTGCACACTGCTGTCACTGGCCTTTGGCCTAGGCATGTAGAAGGGCGCTCCACCCTTTTTAGGACCCATTCGTGGACCACACAGAGGCAGCAGCTCAGGGTCTATGCTGTGTCCATACTCTAACGTAGCTGAAGCAACATCAGTGGCTTTTCTACAGGGCTGAATACAGCCTACTGTTATCAGTCAAACCACCCCATCTAATGCAACCCATCCAAGGAGGATTCTATTGCCAGCCAACAGCCTAGAGCCAGACAGCAGCTCCTGCACCACAGCGCTTTCTGCGACTAAATAGGGAAACAACCTCAGCTAGATCAAAAGCAGTGAGCGGTCAGAGCTCCCTTGAGATCTCCCATACCCTTCCTACCATTCGCAAAGTTAATGGGCTTTGCAAAACTGAGCAGCCTTTGGGAGCACACAGTTTGGCTAGGCAACCACTGCCATGCACAGTAATGTTGGGATCAGGATAAAGTACAAGCGAACTTCTCACCACCTCACCTCCACATCTGACCACTCGTGCTGTATTTGCCCCCTCTTCCCTTGCACTTCTAGCCTCTAGTACTGAGAAACAAAGATCAAGGAGACTCACGCTCCAAAGTGGAAGCACCACAGCGCTGCAAGAATGGACAGAAACCTTCAAGTTCAGGGACATTTTGAGCAGCAGCACTGATGATTTCTCAGAAACAGGCTCCAAATTAGCCTCATCAACCCTATTTCAGAGCCACAAGAGGGCAAGATGTGGAGGAGGAGGACTTCAAGGGTGCTTTCAAATGAACTGAATCAGAGGTTTACCCAACCCTGCTCTTTCAGAAGTTTCTGAATAACGCACCAGCTTGAACCACTGGAAAGAAACAAATAAATGAGCTGGCAGCTTTCATAGGGAGGAGCCTTGAAGCCCAGTTCCCAAGACCACGCCAACCAGCTCAGTGTGACAGCATGCAGGAATGAAAATAGGTAGGTAACATTAACAGAAATACACTGAAACTTAATAACAGCAGCTTGTCAGGACATGCACCGAAAACAAATGGCTCATAATAACTGCAGCTTGTATTATGAATGTTTCATAGCCATCTGGCTAAGAGAGCAGCCTAAATTCAACTGATGTTCTGTGTATGCCTTGGTAATCCATGGTGCATGCTCTGAAAGGACATTATCAAGCTAAAGTTGAACTTCTGCATTAAAGAGACAACATTTCTCTCATCAGTTGACAATGCCTTAGAATAACAATGCAGCAATGAACAGAGACCCTAATAAGCTAAAGGCCATGTCCTCCTTTGGTGAAAATCAGCAAGGCTCACTCAGGGCAAACAGAGTTATCTTCATTTATACCAACTATAAGATTCAGCCCCATTTTATTAACCTCTTCTTGGTTCATTCATAATTCTAATGTGACTATCAGTAGTTTAAAGCCAAGGCACAGTTTAAAAGTAATCCCCTCTGCTTTTTCCTCTCCTGATCTGATTCGCATACAAAATGGGCTTATGAACTCAAAAATTATGGGAGGGATTCAGGGAGGAGGAAAGGGAGACACAAGAGCCCTTTTATTTTGCGTCTTATTCACAATGAAAATTGGCACAGAAGCCAACCACATACATTAACATAGTTTGGGCAAGTTAACTCTCATGAATACATTTCTGTGGAAAAACTATGTGACTATGGAAAAATCCCCTCTTTTTTGCCACTTGAAAAGATAACAGGCTTCTATATGGAACATACCCAGAACCTGCCTGATTCAGAGACATGGAAATACAAAGATGAATAAGGCTGAGTTTCCCATGCTAGGGGCCCATGGAAACTGAGAGGGGAGGAAGAAGTAAGGAGGCCCATTGACTCAGGAGGACTTTCATCCTACAGGTGAAGGAAGTATTTGAAGGCACTAGTAACATTGCAGGCCTGTTCCAGAGCCCATTTAAGTCACTGGCAAACATCTCATTGACTTCACTGGGATGTGGGTCAGGGCTAAATAGTTTTAAAATATAATCCAAGGCTATTTCTACATCACTGCGCAATGAGTGGGATTCAAATCAGTTCAAGCATGCCCAGCCCTGTGACTTACCTGCTCTCTGTCCACATTTCTGGCTGCTAGCCTGGCTGTAGCTTGGGCTCAAAGTCTCAATATTGCATTGAGGAAGAGAAGAGCTCAGGATCTTTTCAGAGGACTGGCCTGGACTGGAGTACACATTAGACTGCACCCACATCTAAGTCAAGCAGCCTGGAAGAAGGAAAGATTTGGCCAAAGGTACTGGGGCACCAAGTGCACTTTTCTTCTCTCTTCCCTTCCTGCAACTGCCTTGCAGGTTCCCCAAAGGCAGGCTGAGGAGGGCTCCCAAGGTGAGCTTGAGGGTTTACAATGGGCATATCTGACGGATAATGCGGGTATTGCTGATGGTATACGCGCACCCAACACCCAAACTATGGGTTAAAGCTAGCCCAGCCACAGTGACATGAGCTATAACCCAACTGTAGCCCAGATGCAGCCTTAAAAAGTTCTGTGGAAGTAAATGAGTTACACAAAACTAGTGACCCTTCTTCATACACCCCTATTTGCAAACCTATAAGCTATTGCCATTCCCATATAAAAACCCTTGTCCTTTGCGCTCTGACATCATATAGCACTAGCCCTGCTACAGTTCTGTATTTATGGCAGAGGTTGGTAACCTCAGAATTACTATTTTCTTTTGAATGAATCAGTTTATTATTAGCCTATCTGATAGTATAGGTTGCATTACAAGTCCTTCATCAGATCACTTGAGCAGCACGTCATTTCACTAGACCTTTAATATCTTGCTAATTAGTTTCATAAATTACTAATTGAACTCTTTAAATGACTCATATGGGTATAGCGAGTCTCACCATACAGAAAAATCAGTGATCTCAGAAGTAGATACATCATAGAATCATCCCCTCTTGCTAGGTAACACAAAATTAAATAGTAGGGTAGGAGCAGGATGGGGAATTTTCCTCCAAGATTAGCAGTTCAGAGCCCTTATCACTGTGATGCATCTAAGTACCGCATATTTTGCACCTGCCTAAACGTAGAGTTTCCACTGATGTCAGCGTGTGGAACAAGCAAGACGTACAGATCCACACATCGAGGGCAAAAGATCTGCACAGCAGATCAAAAGGGAACGCTCTCCCTCTGGGTCAAATCCATCCATAGTGTTAACTCTGCTGCTTTAATGATACTTAATGCATATCGCCACTGATGTCATTGCTAAATTTGGCCTCACTGCAGAGATGGGGTTTGGCAAGGAACAGCAAACAAGATTTCTCACAAACTGTACGATGCTGACCACTTCCAGCAATGCCAAGAGGCTCTCTTTGCCTATTCTACCGTAACTGTCTCCTAGAAACAATGTGACCCCGGTCAATAGGTTGGCAGCGGGTGGAAGGTACCTGAGTATTTCAGAACCAGTTCTCCAAATGCACAGTTCTGTGTTATATACTGACACAAGTTCTGTGATAGGCTAAAGTGAGGTCAGCAGGGCTTCAACCAGATTTATCTCATGCTTCACTCATGGACTTCTTATGTTTCTCCAGAAGCCAGCCTGATCACCACTTGCCTTGGAGCAAAGGATGGGCTTTACTCACCAAACTGCCAACAGCGTTGATATGTACATCTGCTCAGCCACATTCAGCACCCACCTGAGTTAATGGAGTGAGACAGGGACTTCTGGGTATTAAATCACCTGGCCTACAGCAAATGCCTAACTTGGGATGAGATTCGTATCATTCTCTAACAGCTGCAAAGAGCATTTAGCTCTAGCTCAGATGCAGGTCCCATCCCAAGAGAGCAGTCAGATGCTGAGCTGCTGCAACAAATTAAAAGCATAGTGGTTTTATGCACACAATTGGCCCTGTTCTTGTCCCTTATCCTTGCCCACCTGTTTTGCCTTATTCAAAGCTACCTCTTCCAACTGGTCCTAGAACAGCAAACCGTCTAGTGTTACTATAATGCCAATAAGCAAAAAGAATATCAAGACCTCCCCATGTGCACAAGAAGTGCTGCTCTACCACAAAGGCTTGAAGCAGAACTAGTTAGCCAAGATCTTACACTTACACACAAAGTCGAGAAAGGGACCTTTGCAAACATCTCTGCTTGTCTCCTGCATTTACCGGCCAGTGTTTCACCCAGTATAGTTCTGAACTTAGAAAACTACGTGATTCCTCGGTATAATTACAGGTGCAGCTTCTAAACTTTAATGTCTCCAAAGGAACAATAATTGCAACCCTTTCAATATTTTATATTTGCAGACAAGCAGAATGAACTCATTGGAATCAGCAGGTGGTGTATGTTCAGCTGCTCAGAGCAATATTCAGCTTGCCTATTCCCAGTGAGGGCAGCTGACATCAGAGAAGCAATGCCCTGTGAATGTACCATTCAGTAGATAGGAGAGCCCAGAGCTTGTATGTTAGACATGAAAGTGTTTTGTAACATGCAGATGGTTTCCATGCAGAGACTGTGAAAGGTGATGGCCAAGATTTTGTAAATCCTGTGCTGGTTTTTTATGTTATTTCTCTCTCACATACCCCCATTTCCTTGCCTTTCCTTGTATGAAAGAACGATACCATTAAAAATGATGGGTTACATCCTTAGCTGATATAATTTGGTGTGACTTCACTGACTTCATGGAGCTATGCCTGTTTACACAAGTTGCAAATTTGTCCCATCAATTTAAATCTATACAGATTTACATCATAGGGAATAGTGCTACATTTTTTTCCGTAGCTAATAAGCTTCTCAAAAAAAAAAAAGACCCTTGATGTCTACTAAACTTAGAGAGATATTTGAAGATAAAGATTTCACAGGATGCCTTCCCCCATCCTTTCTCGTGTCCTTCCTTCTGCTCCTCAGTTTATTACATGGCCCTCCCATGGGCATGTCTCCCTGGGCATGCCTGCATGGAGAGCAACGCTAAGGAGCCCAAGCTAGTATCTGCAGAGTTGGAAAATCACTGTCACACAGGGCCATGCAGAGGTAGAAAACAGGCAGACTTATTCACACAGGTGCTAGTAAGCCACTTCCGTTCCAGACCTAGAGCAGAGCTGACTGAGGCACAAGCACGGACCAGCTAAAGGTGATAAGGAGAAAGCCCCTGGATGAATCCATGGCTAGACCTGCTTGTTGACTTTTAACTCTGTTCCCTCCCCTTCTTCCCAGGTAACATGGTGAATACAACACATCGCAAATATCTCTGAGCCTTCCTTAGGACATAGCCCTCTTCACTACTCAGAGGTGCACCTAGCCCTGATGTCTTATCTTCCTTCTCCACAGCACACAGGAATGGTCAAACACTGGCATTTCTTTCTGCACAGCACCTCAAAAACCTGTCCCCTCAGAGCCATGGCCACAGACCTGCAGCACTCACCACCTGAATACAGCAACCTTCTCCCCTCTCTGCTTCCCTTTCTCCTCTCATTTTGTCTTCCATTTCATTTCTAGTTCTTACTCTTTGAGAGACTTCTACCAATCTCTGCTTATCCTTTCCTGCAAAACTTTCCAGTCTTGCCTCCATGTCTGCTACTTTATTTTTAAATCCCCTTTGTCTCTTAATTTACCTGCCCATGTCTAGCTGAGGTTTTTAAGCAGCCAACTGTTATTTCAGCACTCCTCTGAATATTCCTCCTGCATCCTCATCACTACCTTTCTATGTTTCTCCTTCTTCCCCCATCTATCAGACTACTCCCTGTGCCTTAGATATGCCATTTCCTCAAGTCTGGCATACAACTTCGGGAGGAAAAAGAGTGTGTGAATCTCTAGTGCCTAATAGGGGATGCAGGTAAAAATTGCTGCTCGGTGTGACAGAGAGCAGAGATTTGGATGCACAGCTCCCTCTGCCCAGGTGAATTCCTTAACCACCAAGCGAACAGCTATTTTTAGAAAGTTCTCCTTCTCTTTCATTTTCATTTCATGAAACATTTCAATAGGCCATGTTTTCCTCTTCATATGGAATAAAAACACATTTCGAAACCTCACTTTTCCATTAAATGAAATTCTTGTGTTCCCACTTACCCTAACCAGAAGCACTCTACCACCACATCTGCAAAATATATTGTATTGTGCTATGATTATGTGCCATTCTGCATAGAAACACAATAAGGTTTCATATGACATTTCTAACTGACCTCACTCAATGAAAACTTCCCTCTTGTAAATAAGTGCCAATCTGTACATACAGCACACATGAAGCCAGGCACTTCCCATTAGGAAACAGTTTGCTTAGCAGGCTGGAGATCTTAAACACTTCTGAAATCTCAACAGCAACAGCTATTCTGCTGGACAAAGAGCTGATTGAGCCTGACTTTGGGATAGACTCAATTATCCAAAAGAGCCAGGTGATTTAAGTGTCAAATTCCTTACCACATTTACTGACTTAATTTGAACACCAAAGTTCTTCAGGCTTTTTTGGAAGTCCCAGTTGCGATTTCAAGAACCAGTATGTCCAAGACAATCACACAATTTGAACACCATCATTAAAAGCATGACCTGTTCCTGCTTGAGACAAATGATGGAGTCCCTACATGAGTGGTAGTGAATTCATTAATCAGCTGTATTATCCATTACAGCAGTGGCTCCGTACTGTGAGACGAGAGACCAGTGAACATTTCTGAGGCTATGGTAAAAGCCTTACAGCTGTGTGACTGTAGCACACTGACTTTCTGTTTCTTCCAATAAAAGCTGAGCTTGACCTGCAAAACATGTTGGGAATACGTTTTCTGGATGAATCCAGTGGAGGGCAACCAAGAAGATCAGGAGCTGGAACAAATGACATCCAAGCAGAGTCTGAGCGAACTGCCTTTGTTCAACTTGCAGAGGAAAAGGTGAAGGGGAAATCTTATTCCCATTTACAGCTACCTAAGGGAGAGTACAGAGACAACAGAGTCAGACTCTCCTTGAAGGTGTACAGGGACAGGACAAGAAGCAACACACAGATGTTGGAATACAGACAATTCTGACATAAGGAAAAGCTATTTCACCAAGAGGATGGTCAGATACTAGGATAGAGGCCCAGAGAGCTTTCGTAATCTCCATCCTTGGAGATACTCAAAATTTGACTGGGCAAGGCCCTCAGCAAGCTGCTTTGAGCAGGATGACTGGATACTAGATGACCTCTAGAAGTCCCTTGCAGCCTAAAGTATTTCATGTTTTTATGATCATGATCCAGATTTTTGGGAGCCACTACAATAGCGTGAGATAATCTACTAGGGGCAAGATTCCTGTTGTATTTCTCAGCCATGAACACTATTGAAATAAAAAGAGGTCAAAGAGAAGGCATCCATTCTCTAAAATAAAGCTGCTCACCTGCACCATGGGTCATACCTGTTCCCTAAAAGCTATGTGCTTAATATTACACCTATTTTGGAAAGTGATGTTTCTAAGGCCTCTCTGTCCAACCAGTTGCACTGCAGAGTTCTCTAGTGGTCATTATACTGATGACTCGCATCTTCCAGAAAGCACCCTCAGCAAGGCACTCTTTCTTCTGAAACTCAGCTTCTCCAGTGCTATGGTATGGGCTGCTCTTTATGCTGCCTTCCACAAGATCGCTCACTCTGAGATCAACATTTCCACCTTGTTCCTCTTTCCTTGAGACTGCTAACTTGCTAGAGGCTAATCCGCCTCTCAGGCAGCCCCCTTCGCACTTAGCCTGTATCCCAGGATTTTCTTTCATGAAAAAGGCACTGTAAAGGCTCTGGACCCTGTGCTATGATTTACACTTTTTCATCTCCTGTAGAAAGACTGCTGTGTATGTGATGATACCATTCAGCTCCGTTTACCTGAGAACTTAAAAAAATACCATCGGAGGTTGTTTTTTCCATATGGGTAAATAGTAGGGGTGGGAGTATTCCTTATGGGAAACCTGGAACAGTTGCACTCTGTCGGCCTGACATTTCCTGCCGTAATTGAAACTTTTGATGTTAAAAATTCCATTTACACAGTGTCGCTCTAAGCCAGGCAGGGAGAAGGGCAGAAGTGGGGGCAGCATTAGGATACTGCGTTTCCCCAGCTCCCCCACTGCAGCCAGTTAAACTAAAGCAGGTGAGATACATACATGTAAGGGAAGGAATATGAGGAAGGAAATACCAGCTGAGTTAGGTAATGTGGGTCAGAGGAAGCCAGGCGTAGTTATAGAGGCAGGCACAGACTCAATCAACTTGAGGCTCTAGGTCTCTGCTTCTGCCCATGCCCTTACTTGGGAAGGCAGGGAGATGTGCGCCCTCGTGGTTCTGCACTAACAGGGGATGTATATCCTGGAGACCTAGGCTCTGTCTTGAGAAGACAGATAGAAAAGCAGCTCCCTCAGAAGTTATGGATACCGAGTGGGAGAAATAACCTATGATATGACCCATTATATAACCCTGTAGGTGAGGTTTTTCAAAACCTGCTTAACTCTGCCCTCTCACAAGTTAAAGGGTGTTCAGCTGAGTGTCTTTAAAAATCCCACCCAAAGCTATACAACCTAATCCTTAGCCAGGTCTGCCAATTGGCCAAATTCTAATCCAAATCCCTGCCAGCTTCTGGTGGAAATCCAGACAGAGCGGCCCACTGCAGCCGACAATAAATTTAACCCAGCAGCCAATTCTAGCCCTCACCATAACCTTATAACCCTGAGGACCAGCACAAAGATGCTCCCAACCAAAGCTAGCCCAACAATCCCAGCCACTCTCAATCACCTTTAACATGAGGGCTCCTTCCAGTTCGGGGCACATCTCTTGGCTCCATAGAGGTTTCACCCAACAGACCTTGGCAGAGCCACGCTTGCCTGCCTCTGCCTTAGCTCAGCAGCACCTGCTGGCTCAAATCCTACCTCTTACCCCCACTCTGCCCTACCCAGGCAGCTCCTGTCATTCCCAGCCCTCAAGCTAGCCAGACACCTACCCCTCCTCCTCCACAAAAACTCCAGCGCACTGTTCAGGGGTGAACAGCAGCAGCAACAAACATCCTTTGAATGCTGATATCAACACTGGCCCCAGCTCCCACTAGCAGTAAACACGTTAATAAGACAAAGTGCAGGACAAAGTGGAATCCTTGTGAGTAATGGGCATAATTACATTAGCTAGTCAAAGTAACTTTATGTTAAGAAATATTTTTGGCGTGCCATGAAAAGTTGAAATCCTGTCACATCCCAATAGTTACAAAAGCCAAAGGCAACACAACATGAGCTTTATTTTAACTGTTACATTATTTTGCATTAAAATGCTTCTTCAGAATGATAATATAACCATATTTCCCTGTTTTGCTATTTTCCCCTTTGATGCAACTTTCTTATACCCTCAAAGGCACAAGGTAGGAAAGGAAACAATTCTGCCTGTGACTTCTTTTTCAGGTGCCTTAAAAAATAAGGCTTCTTAAAGGTCTCCAAAAATAAGACAGTGAAAAAACAAGTATCTAGAGTCACCAATCATTTCTTAACTCTAGATCCTCATTGTCGAACAGCCATTTGACCGTCTAGCCATGACAATAACAGCCAAAATAATAAGCAAATTACATTAATCACTATTCTTTCTAATAATGCTTAAAACTAATGAGAATCAAGGGGTGAGAAAACTGAACTTG